CAGCCTAGTGCAGGATTTTGTCTGTAAAGAGGCATCTGAAATACAGTCGCATGTGTTAGAACCAGCCTAAGTGCAGGCTGGAGGGGAAGCGCACGAAAGGGGCAGCTCCCCTCCTCTTGGTAAGGATTCAGAAAGGTTTCAGGAAGGAAGAGATAACTGAATGAAGACATCAAAGACTAGTAAAAGCTAGTAAGATGAAGAGAGCTGGGGGTTAAGAAGAGCATTCTAGGCAAAGAAAAGAGCCCTTGCCAGGGCTCAGAGGCAACACCCAGCATGCTGCTCTCAAGAGCCCCAAGGAGCTGGGGAGGTAGGAGCTTAAGGAAACGATAAAAGGCTACAGGATTGGGAGGGTAGGGAGAGAGGTCCAAGAACAGTCTTCTAAATTTGTGCTTCTCAAACTTTAATGTGCACAGGAATTGCCTGGGAATTTTGTTAAAATGCATATTCTAGTCCTGCAGGTCTGGCATGGGGCCTGATATTCCAGAGGGTTTGCATCAAGTGCCCAGATGATAGTAATGCTGCTGCTGATCATGTTTCGAGAAGCACGGCCGTTAAGTCAGATCAAGAAATCTGTATTCAACCAGAGGGTGATGGGCAAACCACCGAACGGATTTGAAGAGCAAGAAGCACACGAACAGATCTGAATGCCAGGGTCATCCGGGGAATGGACAGCCCGAGACTAGAGGCTGAGAGAGCAGCAGCGAGACGACAGCTGCGGTCCAAGTGCGAGACATCAGCGGCCCAGACAGCAGCAGTGGGGAGACAAGGGAAGCAGGCAGATGCCAGAGCTGCTTAAGAAGTAAGACTTGGTGGAAGAGTGGGCAAGAGGCAGAGGGCGAAGGAGGAGTCAGGAAAATGAAACCCAACTTTCTAGTGTGAGCCAATAGGTGATGGTGGTGCCATTAGTGAGCTAGGGAATGCAGAGGGAACAGACTTGAGGGAAGAGAGATGGAGTCAGTCTGGGACAATGAGAGACTGAGGTGCCTTTGGGTCATCCAAGTGAAGATGCCCAGTAAGCACAGGTTGATAGACCGTTCCATAACCGGACCTGGGCTGAATGAAGACAGAGATTTCAGGATATTTGGCCTTTAGATAGCACTTGAAGCTGTGGAGGCACATAAACTTGCATAGGATGATGGGGCAGTGTGAGGAGAGCAGGGGCCCAAGCAGAACGGTTAGTGGCCATAGGTTGTTAATCCCTGGCCCAAGACATATTGAAGGGAAAAGGACTATTTCTTTTCTTAAATTTTCACTGAAAATTTAAAAATAGACCTGCTAAAGGAGTAATGCAAAGATCCCGTGGTTCATTGTGAGGAGACTTCCAGCTAGCACCTATAATCCACCTGCCTCATCTAGATAAAAAAGTCTCAACATTTTCTTAAAGTCATTTCAAAGAAAATAGTGGACTCCAGATTTTCAGGGACCTAAACGATTGATGCCTTTAGATTACCAGATGGTGCAACTCCAACCTTCCCGTTGAATTGTTTTCTTGGCATTCTTCCGATTTAAATTTAGTATTATTTTTTGTTTGCAATTAAATAGATACATAAGAAACAAAATGCCTACATTTACAAATGGCAACTTTAGTTATCATTTGTTCAAGTTCACAGACCATAAGGGGAGTCTGAACTCTGAAACTTCACTGCTATGTGACTTTGGGCATGTTAACTGATAATTTCTCTGAACCTGTTTCCTTACATATAAAAAAGGAGATGACATCTTACTAAAACTGGTACAGTGTCAGGAACTAGACGGTGCTATGAAATACGGTATTTGTGCCGCCTTCCTCATTTTGCTTGGATACAGAATCAAGTGTGGTACAATGGGCCCAAAGTGCCAGGTGAGTCCATACAAAGAGGGGAGAGGCTCAGAAAATTCTGGGCTCATGGCTCCTGGCATCGTCCATACTCTATGACACTATAAAACTTGTCAGCACCTACTGATCCAGCTACGGTCGCTCCAAGAACCTTTCCTGCTTCTCCCTAATTCTTAAAAGAACCCTAGGAGGATCCTAGGGGATGTTTCTGAGCTTCTCTTGGCATCTGGAGAAGAGAAAATTAGGGAGAGAATCAGATGAAGTTGGAAAGTCCCCATGACCTGAGATGAGAGGTCTCTAGTTTCAAGAGCCTGCTCCTTACAGCTGTCCCTGGTAAAAAGGTCACTTTTCCGAACTGAAAAGCAATACCAAGGCTCGCCGGCCAACCCACATGATCATGGGGTTAACTGTGCATACAGACCTGTGCAGGTTATGTCACCAACGGTTACTCTGAAGGTGAAAGTGGGTACGTGTATTTGCACATCCGATCTTTCACATTCATAAACCGGGATGTTCTTGGTCTTCATGCCGTATTCGTGTAATACCTGAATTGGTGTTTTCCCTGGCTTAGCTGTAATCATCTTCCCCAAACTGCAAAAACCAGAAAAAGGTGTGCTTTGCATGCCAAAGCGGGGAGGGAAGCAGAAGCATACAGAGGCTAGTTTTGACTGCCACCAACACTGATGCGGGAGGCGCCGAATCTCCCCTGCGGCCAGCGCCAGAGATGGCGAAGCGCCCCAGTCTCCCGGCCCCGCTGCGGCGGGCAACCGGCAGGGTGAAAGAGGGCTTTCGGGAGATAACTTCAAAGCGGGTAGGAGTCATTCCCTGTGGTCTCTCAGGACCAAGCCCACATTAACCCCTCTCCCGGGTAGCGGCGGCGCGCCACCTCCGCCCACCCCGCGCGCAGCCCGAGGCCGCAAGAGGGGCGGGGCCAGGCCGCAGACCCCAGCCCGCGCGCGGCCGAGAGGGCGGAGCCGAGTGCCCCCGGGTCCGCCCGCAGCCGCGGGGGCGAGAGCAACGAGAAGGGGTTTTACCCAGAATGCCGCTGGAAAGCGGGCTCCTCAGCCCCGCCTCTCGTGCCCACCGCTCCCGGCCCTCCCGGGCTCGGCCCCGACTATTCGGGCGCTGACCTGAAGGTCCCGCTGTCCTCGCGCTCCAGCGGCGGGGCTGCGGCGCGATGCCTGCTCTGGGACATAGCGGGAAGGGACGGCTTGGCGGCAGGCGGAAGAGTGGTGCGGAGCGATGTCCTCGCTCCCCGGGTCGGCCGGTCCCCAAGAGGAGCGCTCCAGCGCCGCCGCCGCCTCCTCAACTCCCCCTTTCCTCCCGGCTTGCGTCCCTCTTGCGAAGGGGACGGGCGGAGGCGGAGTCTCGGTGCAGCAGTGCCGGCCACGCCCCCTCGCTGCCCGGGCTGCGGGCCATACTCCAAGCCGGGCCCCGCCTACCGGCTCGCCTGTCTCCTGGGCGCCCGGCCCCGCCCCTGCTTTCCAGACTCCGCCCCTTTCCCAGTCCCGGCTCCTCTGGCTCCCGCCGGTTCCCAGCCTTAGCCCGGCGGATTCCCAGCGCTTACCCCCCACCACGGCCTTGGCGTGGCCGCAAGTTCTGTGTCCTTAAAAGGAGGCGGTTTCCGGCCCGGAGAGGCGGCTTGTTGGGAGGCAAACCTCACAGTGTGTGAGGCCTGAGGCTCAGCTTCTTTTTCGGTGGTGGAGCTGAGGGAGGTTAGGGATCGGGGCTGCGTCACTTTAAGAAAAAGATTTCAGGATTCTAAATGCAAAATTGCTACGGAACGTCCCTGGACCTGGCCCCGAAGCTTGGGACTCGCTGTATATCCGCCTTGGGGGGCTGCAGTGAGCTCTCCCGGTCTGCACCCGGCTTTGAGGAGCTCGCAGGGATGTCCGGGGACACCCCCCCCACCTCTGCCGCCGGGTGGTTTCCATTGTCTCTAGGCTTTGGTCGCGAGACGAACGCTGGGCCGGCGGATCTGAGCAGGGCCTGTTAGGTGTAACGAAGGCTTTTCTGTGGGATCCAATTAAATGCTGTTTCTGTACACCTGCCTTGTTAGTCGTAATTGCGTTTGTCTGGGATGCACCACCTTAGGTGGGGATCAGACAGCGACGGTAGATGTGTCGCCTAGGGGTTTGTTAGCCCCTTACAGAAATGACTCCCTGTGCTTTCTCTGTGTTGTGGAAGATTGCACAGTGCTGTTCACACAAAGGGACGTTATTAAAAACTTTTTTTGGTTTTTGGGGTTTTCTTGATTACACGAGAGCCTTGGATACTGGCAAGCAAATGAAAACAGCTGAATCCTGAATCTAATCAAATTGATTTATATTATTTGAGGCTTCAATTAGCCTATTCTGTCTTCCTCCTACCACCCCCTCTGTATATGTATGTATCGCGATTACTACCTACTATTATGTTTTAATGAGTATCTTACTGTAAGTTCACATAGCCACTTTTTCAAAACATATTAACATCCACATAACTATGGCAGTACAATATTTCAGCACTCAAATTTGTTTCTAAAATTTATTTTTTGCCCCGATATCTTAAAAACAAGCCCAAACGTGATATAGCTCTCTTTAAAGGTTGAGTAACTGAGGTAATAATGATGAAACAAAATAAATGCACTATTTCAAAGAGTTGTCTATGTGCCAGCTACAGAGTAAGAAACCCCTAAATCATAGTTTATATTTATATATGTGAGTATTAGTTATTTCTGCATTTATTATATATGTAATATGGCTTTCATTTGTTATTTCATAAAAATCTGCGTGCAACTGCTTCTCTATATTCTGTGAATTTATATTTTATATTAATCACTTGGTTTTGTAGCATACAAGGAAAATGAATGAACTGTATACTCTAAGGATTCAAAATAGCACTTCACTGTTGTCACAATTGGCATGGTGAAGTTGTGAAGGAATTCCCTTTGGACTAGGTCCACTGTAGATGGAAGCCAGGGCTAATGTTAGTGCCTAAACTGCATTGTTCCCATAGGTCTATAGGTTTCCTCAAAACTGACAAACTACTATCAACAGTAACCCTCATCAAGGACATTGGTAGTATTTTAAGCTCAGTAGTTTTCTGCATATGTTTTAGTGCTTATAGACTGCAATTCCAAATTGACTTGCTCTCAGGGTATCATTTAACACCGTTGATCTATAATTTATTACTTGAGCACACCAGGAGAGACAGTGTTGTGAATTGTACACTGGTAAGCTACTTGGTGAAACCAGGCGTTGTATTTTTAATGTGTTCAATTATATTTAAAATCAAGTAAGTCTTAGGTTTGTGCCTGGTTTTCTTTGAAAGTATGGATTGTTATCTGAGGGTTGCAATTGATGACGTCTTGATACCATATTAATATGTTTGCGGCTGCTACCAAGAGCTTTGTCAAGCAAGTTGGAGATGGAGGGAGATTAGTCCCTGTTCCAAGCCTCAGTGAGGCTGACAAATACCAACCTCTAAGTCTGGTGGTAAAAAAGAAGCGATGCTTTCTCTTTCCTAGATATAAATTTACCTCAACACCTTTTACACTGAAAGATATTCTTCTAGGAGACAGAGAAATTTCAGCCGGTAAGTTTAAATATCTGTTTGGGAGTGACGACTCATTCAGCTATATTACTGACAATCTAAACATCGGTTGTATATACTAATATTTGTAATATTTGCACATTTATAAAAGCAACTTTTCTTATGATAATAGTATTAATGTTAAGATTAATAATATCTAAATTTATGTAGTATCAAATCTCTTATTGGTTGAATAATTTTCCAACCTATTTTGTGAAATTTATTGTATAATTTTATGTCAAATACTTCATCGACTGTTTTAACTGAATCAACTTAGAATATGACAAAATAATATATTTCATCATCTATAAAGTGGGGTATTACTTAGTCTTACCTACTTTACAGGGTCAAATGAGATGAAAGTAATTTACATTTATTTCTTATGATTCAGTTATTGTAGTTGGTAAACTGAAATGTATTTTACAGGCTAGATTAGAAAATGAATTGACATTTTGACAAATTATTTGTTGTAAACACTGATTTTCTTTCAACCACTCAGTGGATCTTACAGCTTACAGAGTTCTTTTGGTGGAACAAAGAACTTGAGTTCTCTTTTAAGTACTCTATCTTTTGGTTGTTGTTAAATTAATTGAGTTGCTATTTTATTTTTTTAATTAAAAAAATTTTTTTTCGTTAATAATATTTTAATAGTATTATATGGTGACAGATGGTAGCTACATTTGTGGTAAGTATGGCATAACGCATAAATTTGTTGAATCACTATGCTGTATACCTGAAACTCATGTAACATTGTGTGTTAACTACACTCAAATAAAAAAATTAATTTTTTTAAAAAAAGTTCATTTTCTAGCAGGAGTGATATTTTACATGTTTTAAGATGTTTACATGTTTTGGGGCGCCTGGGTGGCTTAGTTGGTTAAGCGTTGCCTTCGGCTCAGGTCATGATCCCAGGGTCCCTGGATCGAGCCCCATGTCAGGCTTCCTGCTCAACGGGGAGCCTGCTTCACCTTCTCCCTCTGCTGCCTCCCCTGCTTTTGCATGCACTTTCTCTCTCTCTGTCAAATAAATAAATAAAATCTTCAAAAAAAATGTTTACATGTTTTAACAATAAAGTCATAATTTATGTAAATATATTTATTGTTTTTTAATTTAAATGAGTTGCTATTTTAAATCTTGGCTTGAGATGTCACCTTTCTCAACATTTATGTAAGGGAGTCTTAAATACTAAATTAATGCATTACTATATATAATCTATGTTAGATGAAATCAAGACATTTAAAAATATTGATTTCCTTTCCATAAAGGTATTTCATCTTATCAGTTACTGAATTATGAAGATGAATCAGATGTTTCCCTCTATGGAAGACGAGGCAACCATATTGTGAATGATGTTGGGATTAACGTCACTGGATCAGATTCTGTTGCAGTTAAAGCTTCATTTGGTGTGGTGACCAAACATGAAGTGGAAGTATCAACGTTACTCAAGGAAATTACTACACGGTCAGTAGAATAATATTTAATATGCTTCAGTGTTTTCATTAAATATTTTAATTGTATAAACTTTGTTATAAAGAATGCTGAAAGCATTCAGGATAATTTGTTTTATTTGTTGGAAAAACTACAAATTAGCAATACATCCAGACTTTAGATATGGGTAGATATCCAGAATCACTTGGTGTAAACAGAATTTTTCATTTTTCCACAAAATTGCTTTGGTCCTGTACCCATTTGCTAAATTATTAGATTAAAAGAATACACTGGGGTGCCTGGGTGGCTCAGTCGGTTAAGCAGCCGACTCTTGATTTCAGCTCAGGTCATGATCTCAGGGTCCTGGAATTGAGCCCTGTGTCTGGCTCTGTGCTTGGTAGGGAGTCTGCTTGAGGATTCTCTCTCTCCCTCTCCCTCTGCCCCTCCCTCTGCTTGCACGCTCTCTCTAATAAAAATAAATAAGTCCTTAAAAAAAAAAAAAAAAGGAATACACTAATCTGCTTGCAACAAATATACTAAGGGAATCTCTTCCGACAGACTCCTATAATAAGCATGTTTTAAGAAAAGTGAAAGGAGAGGCAGATTACTAGTAGCTATTGAGCATATTTTCTGATTTGTATTAGACCTGCCTTGATTTACTTTTAGTTAAGGTGGACCATGAATGAGTAACACATGACAGCAAGAAATGTACTCGATTGGGGCACCTGGGTGACTCAGTCGTTAAGCGTCTGCCTTCGGCTCAGGTCATGATCCCAGGGTCCTGGGTCGAGCCCTCCATCGGTCTCCCTGCTCAGCGGGAGGCCTGCTTCTCCCTCTCCCTCTCCCCCCGCTTATGTTCCCTCTCTCGCTGTGTCTCTCTCTGTCGTAAATAAATAAAATCTTAAAAAAAAAAAAAAAAGAAATGTACTCGATTATATGTAATTAGATGTGACAGATTCTTGTGACTATCTCTATTCTTTATTCTAGAAAAATTAATTTTGACCACAGCTTGATACGTCAGACAAGGAGCAGCAGAAAGGCAGTATTGTGTGTGGTCATGGAAAGCATTCGAACTACACGACAGTGCTCACTGTCTGTGCATGCTGGAATTCGCGGGGAAGCCATGCGGGTAAACCACACTCATTAGGTTTCTCTCTTTTTTTTTTTCCCCAAGATTTTATTTATTTGACATTGAGAGACACAGCAAGAGAGAGAACACAAGCAGGGGGAGTGGGAGAGGGAGAAGCAGGCTTCCCCCTGAGCAGAGAGCCCGATGTGGGGCTCGATACCAGGACCCTGGGCTCATGACCTGAGCCGAAGGCAGTCGCTCAACCAACTGAGCCACCCAGGCGCCCCTCATTAGGTTTCTCTTGCTAAAAATGTGCAATGGGAATTTTTTTAAAAAGTACTCAATTTCTAAAGAGATGTATGTATTTTGTCAAATGTTGAGATTAAAGAGCTACAAGTGTATATAGGATTTTGCACAGTGATAGTTTTGTTTTAGAATTTTTAAAAAATCCAAGAAAACTTCGATTCTAAATGTGTATTATAATACAAACAAAACATTAATCCTTATGAAATAATGTATACTGGAGTCCCTCCTATGATTATTTAAATGATGTTTTAAGAATAAAAGTTGAGGAGTGCCTGGGTGTCTTAGTCGTTAAGCGTCTGCCTTAGGCTCTGGTCATGATCCCAGGGTCCTGGGATTGAGCCAGGCATGGGGCTCCCTGCCCTGAGGGAAGCCTGCTTCTCCCTCTCCCACTCCCCCTGCTTGTGTTCCCTCTCTCGCGGTCTCTCTCTCTCTGTCAAATAAATAAATAAAATCTTTAAAAAAAAAAAAGAATAGGGTGCCTGGGTGGCTCAGTTGGTTAAGCGACTGCCTTGGGCTCAGGTCATGATCCTGGAGTCCGGGGATCGAGTCCCGCATCGGGCTCCCTGCTCAGCAGGGAGTCTGCTTCTCCCTCTGACCCTCCTCCCTCTCATGCTCTCTGTCTCTCATTCTCTCTCTCTAAAATAAATAAATAAAATCTTTAAAAAAAAAAAAAAGAATAAAAGTTGAATGCTTATGTTGAATTCTTGACTTTCTTTTTAAGTGATGTATTTTATACTTGAATTTTTAGAAGTTGATTTTATATTATTTTAATTCTTCTAAAATTAAACAAACATGCTTCATTCAATGTTAAATACCTTAAAAAACACTCTTGGAAGTTATTTGTGTTTAGTTCTCAGCTTAGCATTATTTGTCTTTGTCATTCATATAATAATGACACATAATAATGACTCGATTGGTCTTATTAAAATCAGTTGTTAGAGTTCAATGAAAAACTTCAGGAATCTTTGCAAATAAAAGTTCTGTTCAGTGGTTACATTTAGCTGTCCAGTGAGTTGTGTAACACTGGACCATTCTGGGGGCACAAACTGAAACACTTATTTAATTGTTGGAGATTTTTTTGGTAAAGAAGTTGATGATTGCTTTGGAAAGCTGCTGAAAACTCCAGGGGCTTTAGAACAATTGACAGAGTAGGCTGAAAACAACTGTAGCACTTAAATAGTTGGTTTGTGGTTGAAAGAAAAGGTGTCTATGTCAACATTACTGTTGCGGTTGCACTAATCATTGGCCCTAGTACCAATGTTAGTGAGAAGGTGGTGGTGCGTGGTAGTCCCTAGATCGTGAGACCCCACTGGACCATTTGGACTTGGTTAAATTCAATGGGGTAATTGGTTTTTGTCTTAATAGTAAGATTGTATGAGATGTTTTGTTTCTCTAAAAAGCTATCCTTATGTGTTATCCTCCTTAATAATGTTATTTACTTATTTACTATAGTTTCATTTTACGGATGAACAGAATCCCAAGGGAAGGGACAAAGCTATTGTTTTTCCAGCACACACAACCATAGCTTTCAGCGTTTTTGAACTCTTCATTTACTTGGATGGTGCCTTTGGTAAGTGAATGATTTGCATGCAACACTGAAATGATTATACTTTTAAGAAGAATTTAATGAGAAACAAGCACATACATACTCTCTCTGTGTAATTGTGGAAGAATGATATTCACAGCACTGTCAATCTTATGCCTTCCCAGTAGCTGGGAAGGACCCTCTGGTCCTATTTACCCACTACCTCTTTTCTGCTTCTTGGTGAGAGCTGCAGACTCCCTACCACCCCACTTAGGATTATAGATAAGAGCTTAAGTGCAATCCACTGACAAAGTATTCCTTGACTTACATGGGGAGATAATAGATGATCTTCTAATAGGTCGTTTTTGATGATGGCAAATAGAGGAGTGGGTAGATATTTAAGATGCCTGTCGGTGTCAGGGCGTCCAAGCTAAGATAGCCAAAGACAAATTCTTTTCAGTTTTACCCCTCATAGACCCAGCTTCCCCCCCAACTCTCCCTAAAAAATAACTTTGACAATATAAACACTTACCGTAAAATTGTCTTTATATACCTTACAGAATACCTGTATACCTTATATAATACCTCAGTGCAGCTCACTTTAGACTTCGACATTTCACAGGTCTTTAAGATTAGGAGGCCAGCCACCTCAAAGGACTAGGCAAGGGAGACCCCTAGCCATGGTAATTTATAAACATTTTTAGACCTGTTTTTGTTTCTGTAGTTCTATGGGAGGAGAGAATAGGGAGTCCAGAAACATGACAAAACATGCTAATTACAGTCTATTTGGGACACTTCAGATGTAGGTTTTTACAATTATATTGATTGTTAGGAGGAGTATAAACTGATAGAACTGATATAGCTATCAAAATTTAAAATGTGCATATGCTTTGGGGAATTTATCCTACAGATATACTTACACATATGGGAAGTGATATGGGTATAAGGATATTTAGCTAGTGATAATGAAAGACTGGAAATAACCTTAAGATCTATTATCAGTAACTAGTTCAATAATGGTACATTCATAACTATGGAATACTGTGAAGCCATTAAGAAGAATGAGATATAGAGCCTGACATGGAATAACGTCTAGGGGACATTTTAAAGAAATGTGCATAGTATATAACTATTTGAGCCTAAATAATTTTATGTGTATACATACATACATATATATATTCTTTTATGCTTGTAAAATATATGGAGTATTTCTGGAAGTATACTTAAGAAACTTAACAGTGGTCACTTCTGGGGTGGAAAACTGAGGCTGGGGTCCAGGGTAGACTGGAGACTTGTTACTGTATCCCCCTTTTGTAGTCTGGATTTTGTACCATGTGAATATTAGCTTTTCCAAAAACATATAAAATTTAACTTAAAAAATACAGTGAATGGCATGTACCAGGATTCATCAGCCACAACTAAAACTCGCAATTAAATGAGTTGTTCAAGTTATAACATCTAAAATTTTTTTTTATAGACCTTTGTGTCACTTCAGTGTCAAAAGGAGGATTTGAGAGGGAAGAAACCCCAACATTCGCGCTGCTCTACAGACTGAGGAATATTCTATTTGAGAGAAGTATGTCTGTTGAAGAGTATTCCAAATGTTTCTTTTCTTCTCGGGTTAATACTCAAATTTATCCAATCAGTACTCCTTGTCTGTTAAGGAGGAATTTAAATTTAAAAGCCAAATCATTTCATGACTGATGGTTTAGATTCATGTACGTATAAAGGCGGGTTGGTTTTATATTTCTTATGCGACTTCTAACACATTTCTCTGTTTTTGTGCTTTCAGATAGAAGAGTGATGGATGCCATTTCTCGTTCACAGCTGTACTTAGATGATCTTTTTTCTGACTACTATGACAAACCTCTCAGCATGACTGATATTTCTCTCAAAGAAGGGACTCATATCCGAGTTAACTTGCTTAATCACAACATTCCAAAAGGACCTTGCATACTCTGTGGAATGGGGAACTTTAAAAGGGAGACGGTTTATGGGTGCTTTCAGTGCTCTGTCGATGGGCATAAGTATGTGAGACTTCATGCGGTTCCTTGTTTTGATGTTTGGCACAAGAGGATGAAATAAAATGGAAAGTGAATGTAGTGTTTTAGGTGCAACTGTGCCACACACCTTTCCAAAATCATCTAGGTATGCTTTGATGAATTGTGGCAAATTAAAGAGGGAGAAGAAAGAGAAATTTACCTGTCTGGGCATCATTTTCTTCATTTATAAACATGGAGATGATAATAGAGTCTGCCCTATAAATTATCATAAAGATTAATATTACTTATGTGAAAAAAGGTTTAAATGCAAAATTCAAAATATAGATGTTCCTTCATGAAATCTTCCAGTTACTTTAGAACTATATTTGGGATTCGGCTATTGTTTTAGATAACTTTACATAGTGATTTTTCTAAATATCAATTTTATCTTTAATTGAATTTTAATATTTAAGAAAGACAGGAGGTTAAAAGTGGTGACTTTATGGTGCTTTAATCATTGCCCTAGGTCTGGTAAAATGAGAAAAATGTGTTAATAATTTAATATAATCCTAAATGTTTAATTGTGGTATCAGATGAAAAGCACACTGAGCTCAGTGTGGGGTTTTATGGACACAGTTCACAGGGTGACTGATAGCAGTATGCCATTGTGTGATGTACACATGCTCACTAGTTTTGTCTTTATAAAAACTCATTACTGTCATCTTAAAGTTAAGGCAGCTAGGACACCTTTATTCTTTCTCCTTTGAATATGTTTAAAATATTTAACATATTCAGTTCTGAGAGATCTTTTTCAGCTACTCTATAAGACATCTGAAATTTTTCATACACAAACAGCCTAAATTATTAATTTATTACATGCCCTTATTAAAATAATTGCAGAAGTAATGAAAATTCTAGAACTCAGAATGTAGTGACAGCAATCACTACTAGGTATATGCCTATGAAAGCATAAAGCAATCGTGTAACTACAAAATACCTGATTAGTTACGTAGAATGATTAAAATTTTATTTATTTAAATGTGATCAGAGTTTTAGAATCAATCTCCATTTTACATCATCTATAATTTTTAAAAACATAAGTTTAAAAGCACTTGGAAAACAATGGGACAGAAAGGATAGAATTATGAACAGAATGTATTATGGAATAATTTCCATGTATATCTTCTTCCACTGTATTTGTGTTTTGAGAAGAATATATGAGTCAAATGCAAATATGAGTATACTGATTGCAAAATGCTCTAGTGACTTTTTTTTATATAGAAAACGGGGGCAGTTTCCAAACCAAAACATAATATGGAGTCACCAACTTCGTTCATTTCAACAGAGCAGGTTTTCCTGAGGGAAGTCAAGGAACGAGAATTGGCAATTGAGCAAGTGAGGAGTTACAAAATTAGGTACAGGCATGATGAAGCACTCTTGGGAGGAAAGGAAAGATAGCAAAGGTTTTGGTTTTATGAAGTGTCAAACTCTGTGCTATGCATATGTGGTATCTGTTAATCTGGTGTTTTTTGCGTTACCCCTGAACGTTTAGATAATAGAATTTCTGGCAGTATATCTAAAGAGGTTAAAAGAAGAACACTGAACAATAGTTTGGAAAGAGCAAGTTTCAGAAAATGGAAAAAGCTTTGGTTTGAACTCACTTGTTTGGAGCAGAGCTATTTAATCTTGACCATACCTTTCTACATATGCAGTGGGCAAAACCTTACGTGGTCCAATAAATAACGTGCACTTTCTTTGACACCAGGGTGATCTTCTACAGCACCTCTTACCTCCTATTCCCAACAAGTTGGATGTCATGGTTTGACCATGACACAAAACTGTTATTGCAGTGTATATCCCCGTTTGTATCCTCATTTGATATCCTCACGTGTAAAATAAATTCTACGCATTTTCAAAAATTTGATGGGGTAGCAGTTTGTAATGCTCATTCATGATCAAGAACAAGAATATCATAAAATGAAGTGACATAGGATAGAGGTACATAGAGAAAGGGAACTGGAAACTAAGAAATACCATGGCATTAACTTAAAACGATCAAGACAAAAAGTTAGGGATGGTAGATCTAAAGGCCTACAAGAAGGAAGAGGAGGTAGCACATTTATAATGATCTCTAAAGGAGTACAGACTCAGAGCAGTATGATTTCATTATGTCTGCTATGTAAGAGGCACAAAGTCTTTGGTCTGATCAATTACCTTTAAACATTCTCCATTGAAGGGGCACGTGGGTGGCTCAGTTGTTAAGTGTCTGCCTTCGGCTCAGGTCATGATCCCAGGGTCCTAGGATCGAGGCCTGCTTCTCCCTCTCCCTCTGCCCCTCCCCCAGCTTGTGCTCGCTTCCTCTCTCTCAAATAAATAAAATCTTAAAAAAAAAATAAACATTCTCCATTGGAATAATGACCAAAGGCCAGAGCTTGCACCAGAAAGTACAGAGACTGTGTTAAGGCTCTCTATGGGACAGAGCTATACAACTAGTATTTTCCTATATGCATACAAAAGGAAAATTTGTTTAGTCCTCTGATTTTTATATCCCTCTCTTTGTAATGCTATGAAATGTATAAACAAATGAAATGTTCATTCCTGGGTCCTAATGAATATTTTCAATATATGGGGCATTTCTACAATCAAACGTTAAAAATTGGATATTTAAATATTTATACATGTTGTTAAGGTTAGAGCTGGGAAGAACTTGTAAATTTTGACATAGGTGTCCTCCTATCTCCTGAAGGGGGAGAACTGACCACTGGGACATGGAGGTCTATTTCATGGTGCTGCAATTCGTGTTCACAGAATAAAGCAGTAGGAAACACAATTATACCTTTCCTGAACGTTAAATTTGCAAAATAATGCACATTTATTATGTCAAAATTACATGTATTGAGGGGATCAAAATATGTTCTCATGGGAAGAAAACAGAAAATACAAGTTCTAGAAAAGTGACTTTGTTTTATATATAAAGTACAGTAAGTAGTTAAGACAATTTAGAAATAAAAATATACTATAGTTCATCATGTTGATATACATTGTATTCCTTGGAAGAAATGAAGCCATCACCATCATGGTCATTCTTCTTAAAAATATCTTCTAAAACTGCATTCTGATATGACTTGTCACGTGGCTTGTCATCTTTTTCAAATTCCCTTTTCAGGTAGTGATTTATCTAGAGGGCCAAAATAATGTCTTTAACAAAAAAGTACCACAGTAAATTTTCAGTAACTTTAAGGAAATGTTTACATAAGAAAACTCAACTCTAAGGCTACTTACAATAAGTGATATAAAATTTTTAAAAACTGGGGGCGCCTGGGTGGCTCAGTCGTTAAGCGTCTGCCTTCGGCTCAGGTCATGATCCCAGGGTCCTGGGATCAAGCCCCGCATTGGGCTCCCTGC